CTGTTCTTTTTTAACTTTCTTTTAATTGGGTAGGACTGTGCATTGGATTTTATTTACTCTGCCTAAAGCCTTTGACACCCCTGTCTGAGGGGTGTGCATACACTTGGCAGTCTGTGTCACTGATGTGCATCTGTTTTACCACCTTTCCTGCTCTGTCAGTGAGTTCTCAATCACTATTGACAGTGCTGCTTGTTAATGAGATGATCATTCAGGTGAAATGCATTTGCCAACCAAATGGGTGTTTAATGAAGAGGGTGAGGTGTGGTTTGGTTTGGGGTCATCTAGTTGAGTGGAGTTTCTGGCTAGTCCTCAGGCAGGATCTCCACAAGCTACTGTGATCAGTGGATGGTGTTGTGAAGCTCTGGTCTGGGAGGTCCTGCCTGGGGTGAGCCCCAGGGGTTTCCTCAGTGGCAGAGGGGAAAGCACTGAAGAAGGAGAGTCCCAGCTAGGGGTTTTGTGCTGCTTTACAGGGAGCTGAGTGCAAGATGGCTCTGCCACAGGTTTCCTTTGGCAAGTCAAAGGGGTTGATCTACCAGAAAAAGATGTCCTGGGGCACATGGTTCCTTTACCCCTTCCTTGACTGCTTTTAAAGCCCTGGGGGTGGTGTTTAGCACATGGGGGCTCCTGACCCCTTTAATGACACTTCTTGGGGCAGTAGATTCTGTGCTGTCCTTCAGCATGATGGCAGAACTGAGAGGGGGAGGGATACCAACTGATCAGCCCCCCAGACTCAGTCCAGCTTAAACAGCCGATGGAGATGAGCTTGCATGAAAACACCATGCCTGGAGAGGCTGAAGGGTTGACAGCCATTGCAGGGCTGTGGCCTTAGGACGGGATGCTTGATGTGGTAGCTGTCTGCAAGGAATGTGAGTTGGGCATGAGGATTTGTGTGTTGAAAGCAGAATGCAGCAGCTTGCTGATAAATGGTCTGCTTTGCCTCTTTCCCACCTCACTTTGTCATCTGAGGACTGAAAGACCTGTGGTCAGCGCTAAAAGAAACCGTGAGTGGAATTTCACTTTTTTCCCTCTCAAACCCCATGCTTATAAGTCGACTTCCCAAAGGCGAAATACAAGGGGTAAGAAATAGAAGCTCTGATCTTCCAAAGCTCTACAATGGTCATTTATACTCGTGTCCTGGCCTCATGGGACATCAGTCCATCCTACAGCAGGGTCCCTGCACAGGCAGGGTTTAACAGAGGATTTCCCATGCTCTGTGTCAAAATATGCAGTCTCCCAGTCTTGTCTAGGGAGGGACTGTGGAAACACGTGCACACGTGTGGCATGCTGGACCTGGTGAACATCCTCAGCCCTTTGTGCCATGTTCAGAAAGGACCCTCTTTGTACTGTTATGAAGCAGCTATGGCTGATAACAGCCAGAGATCGAGATTTCAGGAAGAGATGGCACAACAGAGGAAAGATCTTGCCTGCCTTGTCAGGTTTCTGGAAGAGGTGGCACAACAGAGGAGAGATATTGCCTGGCTTGTCAGGTTTCTGGAAGAGATGGCACAATAGAGGAAAGATCTTGCCTGGCTCTTGCAGGGATAACAGTGTGTTGTTGATGGGGTTTTTTTGTTGTTTTTTTTCCCATGGAAGATTTGTCTATGTTCAAATCCATCACACCTACTGGCTGTTTCTCAGGGTCACATTCCTGGCCTGGGGTTAGCAGAGGGTAATTGGTATGTTCTTGTGAATAATGCTCTAACATACCTGTTCTTCTCTAATGAAAAGATACCAACTAAAACGGGAGGTTTCATAATAGTTTGGCTGCCTGGGCTGCAAACGTTGAAGCCGTCTGTCTCCTCTGCAGTGATGAATAAAACTGTTCCTCTTAAGGAAAATCTGTGCTTTATGACTTTTACAAGATATGACTTGGGGAAGCTGCCTTCTGATCTGTGTTGGAACAGAGTATCATGATCTGGAAAAAACTGCACATAATTTGCACTGTGGAAGTTTCGCTACTTGAGTGAAGCAGGAGGAGGCTGAGCAGGGAGTTCGTGCCTGGAATCCGATTGCTTGTGTATGCACTCCTTGTTGGGTAGTGGAGGTCATGGCATGCGGCTGAGCAGGTCCTGAGCAAACAAACTCTGTCACAGAAGTGCTTGCCTGTTTTGGGTCAGGCATGTGTGTACTTAATGCACAGCAGGTTTCTGGCTGCATTCAGGGCGCTGTTCTGTATTCAGCACCTCCTACAAACTGGTACAGGGTTGGAGCAACCTTGAAATCAGATCTGCGCTCCTCCCAAGCCTACAAGCTGGGCTGTTCCTTGATGAAATGTGTGCAGCATTGCACTGGGCTACTTTATATGCCTGTGGGACAGCCCTGCCCATGGGGAACTCGTGGTGGGGTTATTTTCCCAAAGCATTGCACGGTGTATGCCATGCCACTCACTTGACCCTCCAGATCGTGCTCATGTGTTGAAGTCACTTTCCCAATGTTGACCTGTGCAATGATCTAATGTTTCCGCACCTGTGGGAGTCAGGCTCATCCTGGCTGATCAAGTCACTTTGCTGCCCTGAAGGAGCTTGTGGGGAGGAAAAAGGACGCTAAGGGGAGCTATAGCTTCTGGAGGGAGCAAAGGCATTAGGGTGAAAGCTCAGTTTTAATGAAGACCATTATTTTGAAGAGTTGTAACCAGTATTTTGGGTGAGATGCTCCTGTATACTTGTGTTACCAGCGTGTTCCACCACTGTCACTTTTTTCTCCTCTGCTGTGGGCTCCTTTGCTGGTGGGCTGTATGCAGAGATCTCGCACAGCTTTGTATTTAATTGATACACACCAAGCTCTCTGCTGAGTCTCTTGCTTAGCAAAAGCAAAAGGTGCTATAGCATCATTCTGAATCCAGGACCACAATACAGGCGTATTCGTGGGGTGGCTCAGCTCCTGGTCTAGGAGATGGAGTGGGATCTTAAGTGTTGAAGCAGAAAGAGCCCAGAGATGAACACTTCCAAAGTTCCTGGGGGAGTTTGAAGCTGAATGTTATACACAGGAGCATTGTATTTAGCTGTAGGTGGAAAAAAACCCTGAAAGCTAACCGTGCAGAGTCCCCAGCTGTGTTAGGGCCAAGGAAAAGGGAAAAGCAAAGGATATACTGTTCTAATAAGGCAGACACTCTCCTCATTCATCTCTGATCAGAACCCTTCTGTGTTTCCAGTTGGCAACTTTGTCAAGAGTGGGAGTTGGAAGCCAGTTTCCCAGCCCACCAGCTGTGTTGTGTCATAAAAGGCAAAGCAGATAATAATATATGCAACTTTCATGGTGTAGTGCAAATTTGGGGTGGATGCAAAATGCTAAGTGCCGATATTTATTAAGGAACCATCATGGGTTGCTTGTAAATCAACAGCCTAAGCCATACAGTTTCTTTTTCACTCCTGACTGTGTGAAAGAGTCTTAATGCATAAGATGTTTCTCAGGAAGCCTTCTCTGCAAGAAAACAAGTGATAACAGGGTTTAGCACCTCTGGGATCAGTGGGGCAGGTAGAGAAATACAGATGCCTCCGGGGGGGAATGGGCAGTTGTTTCGAGGTGAGCAGGAATGCAAAATGGTTCAAGGCTGGGAATCACCATGTCCAAAAGTGAAAAACCAGAATGATCTGTATATTATCATAGTGTAATTACCCAAGCAGATATTTGGTTAAAGAGAAAGATGAAACCCCATACTTAAGAGTTGGTGGGAAATTCCTGTGGGTCCTTAAAATTCACTTTCAGCTGGCTCATTAATTTTTTGCTTCCTCCAAAATGCCCCCCTTGCCCTGCCACTGTTCATCTCCTTCAGGAGCAAAGCGGTCCTGGGTCTAGCTTCAATACCAACTTTAAAGAGCGCAGCTGCATCTCTCATCCTTGTGAGTTCCCCGTGGGGCTCTCCTATTCTGGTCACGTCCGACCTCGCTTTCCTCGCACGTAATGCCCTGCTCTTCTCATTAACAAACCTCACAGCGCTTCACAAAGACCATCAGCCCTTCCTGGCCTCCTGACGGGGAATCTGGAGAATGGGGAGGTTTGGCAAAGCAAAGTGACTTTCCAAAGGTTGTGCCACAGCCCTGTGGCAGGCCAGCCCCCTGAGCGGGGTGTGCTCTGCATACAGTCCTTTCGGAGAACATTAGCATCACAAAAGTAAGGGCAGGATCTTAGGGAAGGGGAGTATTTCTTCACCCCAGCTCCTAGTGGATTTTTCTCCAAGTGGATGCACTCTAGGATGTCATTTGCTCCCACACTGGCGCCGGCATGCTCGCAAGCACCACGATGTGAGTTCGACTGGTCTGCTGTGTGTGGGGGGTGTGACACAGGTTAAGGGACACAGCTGAGTCATCATCATGTCTCTGGTATTTGTCTCGTAGTCTTCCTGATTTGTGATGACAAATGAATTTTTGAGCAGCATTTTATTTTGCTAGGAGTGGCCCTTTGCTATTGTCTTACTATAGCACTAGGGGGATAGAGGGCTGGCACACAAATGCTGCAGCCTTGCTGCATGCTCCTGATAGTAGAGCAGAATCTTCTATTAGTGAGCTGGTCCTCATATCTGACCATGGCTTTCTGACCTTGACACATCCTTTTATTTAAGCAACTGGGAGCAGCAATCCTTTGTTATCGGTCTCTGCACCCATCATCTGCTGTTGCTTCTTGTGAGTTCTTACACACACATATTTTTGTTCTTATTTCACTCGTATCAACCTTAATATTCCTCTTACAAGTCTCTGTGATAAGTTGATTGCGAGCCTTGGGCCACCTGCAGCTTTTCTCAAGAGCCTCAAAGGTGAACAAAGCCATCAGACTCCCACCTTCCCCTTACAGAAGGAGGGAGAAAAAAGAAAGAAGGACCAAAACCCCCAGCAAAGCCTGCAGGTATGAATTGCTGAAAATCAGGTGCTAAATGAGAAGAGTCACTTTCGATTTTTTTTTTTTTTTTTAGACATAGTCCCGCCCTCTGCTTCAGTGATTGGATGCTGCCCACTCTTTTGTAAGGCAAGCGATGCAGCTGTCAGCCTCACAAGCTCATGATCTCTGCTCGCTGAATAAGTAGAAATGTGCAGGAGGTCGCCCGTTGCCCTCTTCGTGGCCCTGTGCGCCAGCCAGCTGGGCATGTGGGCAGCAGGGCGCTCCAAGGTGAACCCCAGGATCATCACAGCTCCACAAGGTAAGTCCCGGGCTGCAGTCAGCTGCAACCTTGAGATGCAGCAGCAGCAGCAGTGTCTGCAGCTGACAGCTACTCCCTGCACCGTGTATTTTCTACCTACGTCTTTTGAGAAGAGTTGGTCTTTTTTGTGTGTGGTTTGTTTCTTCGGGGAGACTTTTGGCTCTCATTAAAATGAGCTAAAACGCCTGTGATCTCGGGAAGGAGCTTCTGGCTTCTTGATTGCTTTTAATTGAATTCTTAGATCTGTGTTCTTGCCAAGTCCTTTCCTTTTTATATTCTAAAAACATTTTCCTACAACCTGGCTATATTAAAGGCTGTCAAAAAGCCCTGAAACAGGCACAGTAACCATTTCCCCTAACTTGTAGGGGAGAAGTGTGTGAAGTGTGTTTGCATAATAGCTAATTTTCTTACTTATCTGTGTACTTACCCTGTTAGCTGCAAATGAGTTCTGTGAGTAAATATTTGCAGAAGATCTCTGTTCTCTGAGAAAATATATGTATGTCTGAAATGGCACGCAAGGACTTATAATCGGATCCGATTTTAGCAGAAACTGAACAAAGAAATGTTTTCAAGGAGCAAGCTTAGAGTACAGCCCAAGCTTCATGTGTTGAAAAGAGCAGACTAACGTTTACTGGTTTTATCATGTGTCTTCCAAGCTTTTTGATTAATACCCTCCAGGGAGGCTTTAACAAAAGACCTCGTCTTGTCCCTGGCGGTTCTGGTGTTTGGCTAAGCCGGCGGGTTCAGCCGAGCCGCGGATCTCATGCTGCTCTGCAGTACAACAGCTCCTCTGTGCTTCCTATTCGCCGACAACTTCAGAGGACACGAATTTCCCGTGGTTTATTCTGCGCCATCTGTTATTCTTCTGCCATTATTTATTATGCCCTTCTTCTTCAGGCCCATCGCTGCCTGCGGATGAAGGGCTAGGAGCAGAGGAAAGGGTGGTGGGTGGGTGGCTCGAAGGTGGCCTCTGCCTGCTGTGTCCGTCGCACAAAGGGGAGAGACACCGGCAGGGAGGGCAGCAAAAGATTACTCCTAGTATTGCGTCGTTTGTTTTATCTCCTGGCAAACGAAGTGGCTCAGAAAAGGGGATGCAAGCAGGGGAGAAGGCACAGAGCCTGAGACTGAACGGAGGATGGGGGTCACACATTTCTCCATAGACGTTTCCCCTGCCCCGCTTGGAGTGGGAGGTAAATTACTGTGGTCTGGTGTGGTTGGAAATGCCTGTCCTGGAGTAAAACTGTGCTGAGGGGGAAGAGAGAGCTCGAGTGGTTGATTTCCACCTGTCTCTGTGCTTGGCATGCACATGCGGTATGGTCATTTGGGCTTTCCCTGCATCTGTGTCAGAGGGTGGCTTTACTGGCATTGAACACAGTGAGGATCTGTCACTGAGAAACACTGAAGCCAATTAGTGTTAGGACACTTCCCTGCAAAGGGATCAGCTTGTGCTTATCTGTTTGTATCTCTTTTTTTTTTTTTTCTTCTTTTTTGAGAGCTTAGCTGGGACACAGGCCAAGAGGGATTTCAATTGGGGAGGTAGCAGAGGTAGCTGTGTGGCACACTTCATTAAGAGTCAGTCCCGTGTCCTATTTAACAGAGTGCATTTTGTTCAGCATAACATCTATCATTTAGGAAGTGAGTCTGTGGGTGAGGAGGAGGGTGGAGAAGGAGGCTCTGGGCGAGGGTGAAGAAATGGGACAGGGGCAAAGAGGATGCGGTGGGCAACAGGGAGTCTTCTTCAACTTCCCCAGTGCTCCAGACACAGTGAAAGGCAAGCACAGCATCTTTAGTAAAACCTGCAGGTCAGCATACTGCTGCTGTTTGCATCCACTTATAGAGGCTTGTCCCTTGCCGTGGGGGTGACACTGTTGCAGGGCTCAGTTTGCAGCTGAAGCCCTGGTCCTGGAGGCTGGGAGCTGGATGGAGAAGAGCAGCAGTCCGGGACGTTTGCGTGGGTGTTCACGCCGGGGCTGTGCCTCGTGTGCTGCATTTGCAGTGGTGCAGCGCTGGCCTCAGCCCTGGGCTCTGCAGGAGCTGGCAGCTCTTCACCTAATTAAATTTCTTACATGCCACAGCTCATCACTAGCACCAGGTACGGCAGCCTCAGCAAAGACACCTCAAGATGTTACAGCCCTGTGAGTGAAGGTAGAGATTCCTGGTGCCGGCCAGAGCCCAGCCCTCTCCAGGAGGGAAGAGTACGTGTGTGGGATCCCTCCCTGCGCTGCGGTGCTGGGGGAGAGGAGCAAATCGGTGCTGGGGAAAGCTGCAGCTGCCCTTCCATGTCTCAGCCTTGCTCCCCTTGCCAGCACCCTGCCAGACCCGGGAAGAGAGCCCTGGGCTCAGTGCAGGTAGCCTCAACTACTCGGCTGTTTTGCCCTGTGGTCCTTTGGTGTCCGGTTTCATAGCAAGAAATAGGTGAGAGGACATTGTGAACTGGGAAAAAAATGTGGCTGGGCTTAGGTAGCACAATCCTGAGCTCAGATATGAAGACAAAGAAACAGAGTCAGCCTGCCTTGGTGCTTGGAGCTCCTGGATTTAAGTAATTTCAACAGTCCTGGGGACTTGGACTTGCGGTGGTGGGTGGCTGGAGCACTGTGTTCTGCAGATCTGCCTTTCTATGAATGCAGTGTGTATAAAGCCAGCCCTGAGGCCTCAGCTGCTGTTCTGCCTTTATTTTGCCTCCCTGATGCCACAGCACAGTGCAGGAGGACGTGAGGAAAGGGGCATGCTTTCTCCAAAGGTCACCCCAGCTTCTGCACATGCATGCCACCGAAGGCAGGGTGAGGGATTGCTGGAGCTGTCCCAGCAGCCGGCACAGGTGGCTGGCTGGCTTTTAGGTCCAGCTGGGTAAGCAGTTATTTGAAAGCATGTCTGACTCTGGCAGGGTTTCTTCTTCGTAGGGGAAGGACGCTCAGAGCAAAGGGTTGAGGTCAGCTCCAGGCCACTGATCATATCTAAAGTGCCTACGATCCTTTTTACTGACAAGGACTTTGCCCTGCTTCCCCTTTGCAGCTGACCCAGCACACAGATGGGTCGGATCTTCTGGCTATTACCCTCCCCAGTGTTCTAATGAAGGAAGATTGTAAATGGCAAGTTCCCTATCTGTTGAGATTTGCAGAGTGGGAGTAAGTTTGGCCTTAGCAGCCTGGGCTGGCGCAGAAGCAAGTGCTTCAACCTTGCACACTGTGTTCTTGCTTATCTTCCCTTTTATTTCCATCCTCTCCCTGCCTCCATGTATTTTTCTAACCAAACGCTGACCAGCTGGGCTTTGCTTTGAAAAAGGTGCATTCACAACCCACACTGAGCTTTTGCTTGTCAGCACAGATACCGTGTTTACTCTTCTGATCCATCTGCAGAGACGGAGACCGCTGTGTCCTGGGGCTGGGCAGAGCTGTCCGGGTGACACAGAGGGCAGACACAGCCCCTCCGTACGGAGCAGGAGGGTGGCATCCCAGGCTGACTGTCTCATGACCGGAAAGTCACCGAGCATCGGGAGAGCAGAGGAGTGCAGTGAGGACAGCAAGGAGCCTGAGGGCTGGCTCAGGCTGCTATAGCCTGGGGCCTTTGGTGCAGCACAGGAATAATTTTTAGCTACCGCCATGCTTAAGATTGTCTTGTCCCTCCCCACGTGTGTAGATCCGAGACAAACGCACAGCCCCTCTCTGGTTGCTTGCTGCATTTACGCCTTGGGGTAGGATGGGGTCTGACAGTTTAGTTATTCCCCTCTTATTAACAGGTGAGGCTGGAAGCTGGAGGGGGACGGGTTCTGAGCTGGTGTGTAGCTCACAGGAGTTAAGCAGGTCCCACGGGGGAAAAGAAAGATTATACACTTGACCCTTGGCTGCTTTGACTGGGTAAACTGGCTCTAGCCTGCCCTGGGTCACAGGAGGGGCGTTGAAATGGCAGTTCCTGGAAACTGCCCACGCTGCCCATAGTAGCTCCTGGGCTTTGCCAAGCTCAGCCACCTCTCCTTGCCCTGGGAGAATTGTGCCAGCAAGCATCTGAGTGCTGTAGGAGCTATTCTAGGAGCTCTTCAAGCCCACTGCTGTAATGGTGCTGCGTTCAGCTAGCAAAGGAAGAGAGCTGATCAGAGATGAGGCTGAACTCATACTGATGGGGAGTGCTGGCAAAAATGAGAGATTGTGGTGCTAGCACCAGCTTTTACTCCTCAGTGACAGCGGCACTGTTTTCTCAGGAGCCATGGTCCCATGGGTGTGAAACATCTTTGTAGGACGGTTTCACATGAAGCTCTCAGAGCATCAACATTTCCAGGAGAAAGCTTCTCACTTTCCCAGCAATGCAATTTTCTGCAGAAGGCTCATTTTCACAGGGTGGGTGATGCTGGTATCATAAAACGTTGGTTGAAAATATATTTTGCTCTGCGCAGATTGAAAAAGAAAAACCAAACAAACCAAGCGAGTGAATCACAACCACCTCCTCTTGCAAGAGCGTGACACAAAAACAACAGGCATGGGCAAACTAATAAAAGTTGTGGCTGCTGAACTGAAATGCTTAGGGCTGGGAAAGACTGCCAGATGCAAATTGCTGACCCACTGCCCAGCTCTGTGCCAGCCCTCGGGCTGATTCAGGGTCAGAATTGCAGAAAATTGGCCCAGGGAGGTATCCTGTAGTTGATGTAGTCAGGCTCGGTGCCTTAAAGCAGGACAAACTAAATCTAAGCCTGAGTACTTGAGTACAAACTAAATCTAAGTACTGACTACAAGATGCTTTTTAAAGAAGCTTGTATCCGGAAAAAGGGCTGGAAGGTGAGTTAGAAGGAAGAAATTGCTTGTTTTGCAGCCAGCTCTCTCCTGTTGAGCTACATCCTATGGTGTGTGGCTATTTCTGGTTGTTCCAAGAATAGGACTTGTTCCTCCTGTTGGGCACTCTTTTCTTTTCAATCCCAGCTCCAGCCAGTGTAGTAGACTGTGTCTAACTGTCTGGTGTGACAGAGAAGTGCTGTAAGAGTGCCACAGGAGCTGGATGTGGAAGCATCTCCT